CCCGTCCGGGGGTGTGTTCCCCGTGCCCCGCCCCCCGCCGATCCCCGCCGGCCAGCGGAGGGGCTACAGCCGGGACGCCACCGCCGCCCCCTCGCAGTATCTGCAACGCAGCCTCGTCCCCACGATGCATTACCAGAAGAGCCTGCCCCGGTAAGGCGGCGCGTCCCCGGGGGGGGGCTCGCCTGGACGGCCCTTGACCTCGTCCTTTCGCCCCGTCGGCCTGCCCTTGGGAAGAGCTGCTTTCTCTTCCCGCGGCAGTCTCTGCCCACCCCCATCCAGCAAAACAAGGCACTCCTTTTCATAGGTGCCATTCCAATCTTGCGGGAGGCGAAGGAGAGAGAGGGTGCTTTTGAACATGTGCAGAGTACGCCCCCCCCCCGCCCGCTCCATGTGCAGGTCTGAGGGGAGAGCGGCGGCGGCGGCGACCTTTTTGAATGATAATCTTGCAAAGCCTTCGGTGCTGCTGCCCAGGGCAGGACGCAAGAGGGGACCTTAAAAGTATTCCGTGGGGACGAGCATGTGATGGAGGGGCCGCAGAGCTTCGCCCTGGCCGTAGCCCTGCGTTGGGAGAAAGCGGCACCTGATGGCATTTCTGTCTTCCCCGAAGGAGACAAAGGCTTTTTTGAGTTTTACCCAAAGTAACCTCCATCACTTCTCCAAGGGTTTCACAAGATCGTGCCACAAGTTTAGACCCTCTCTCTCACGCACACAAACACGGGGGGGCTTCCTCTGTGCTCCCGAGTGTCAGATGCTCTCCCGTGATATTACACTTCTCATGTGCCATTTCCACAAAACAGTAACTTTTAAGGCCTTCCGTTCAGAAGACCTGTCACTCCTGAGAGACGGCCATGGAAGGAAGTACTGTACAGTACTGTACTGTAGGTTACTTTACCGCATTCAGTTATATTAACAGGATATACAATGTTGCACAAGAGTAGCTGAAGGGGATTCATACTACAGTATGTTGAAGCAGAGAACCTTTTGATACTTCTGAAAAGTTGGACCAGCTCCCAGAAACCTTGCTCACGGTGTGGCCAATGATAAAGCACTGTGGGAAGCGTAGTTCCAAATATTTGGCTGGCCAAAGGTTTCCTTGCTGCTGTGCCATGTGACCTTGTATATTCTTCCTTGTATTGTATTTCCTCCCCTTAAAAGTCCCTGATGCCCTGAAAGAGTCCACTTCCTGCTCTGTCAAAGCTTCCTAGTTCACAGCCCCCAGCATAGGGCTTCTGCTCCTCACTGTCCTTTAATCTCTGCCCCACAAGACATTTCTTCCTAGAGATCTTATCTTCATCGTCAAACCCCTACTTTCTTTATTTCCCCCAATTCATTCCAGTATCTGCCACTCAGGATCATCTCTAACACTTGAGATTTCCTGCTTCTCTAGAAAACTTTTGAAAAATAATGATCTTGCCCCTCTTTTTTTGCACCCAGTTTTGCTGCTGACAAAATTCTACAACTGCTATAACACTGGGTGCGGAGTCCTTTAGATTAGAAAACTATACTTATGACTGCTTTCTAGATTACATATTGTGAAACAAGAAATATGTTCAGAATTACACCTCGCTGAGTCAGGAGTTTAATGTGTGGGTATGAGAGAGAAGACTGAGCTGCCGCTGGTAATGCCTTCAGCTTTGTACAGTATATAGGTGAAAGGTTACTGTTAAAGGCAGTTTCCTTGATGGCTATCCATATTTACACTAAACTAAAGAATACTGCCTGTGCAAATTGCCAGACTTCCTGTGCAAAATGCCAAATTGAAAAAGTATGCAAGTTCAGAAAATTTTTTGTTTACTTTGAATATTTTTAACTGTTATAAATAACCTGAGGTTCATGCTGTAAATATAAATACTTTAATTTATAAATTGTCCAGTAGTCTACTTTTGCATATAATTTTTTTTCCTGAAATGTTTTCCTGAATGTGGAATGTTCTAACATCATATTGTTCTGTATCTCTCCCCATACCTTCTTAGTTTGCCCATTCCAAAACTTGAAGACACAATTAGAAGATATTTGAATGCTCAAAAGCCCCTTTTAAATGATGACCAGTTCAGGTAAGACCAAGTAAGACCTCATCTTCTCAAACCATGCATAGTGTCTGCAGCACCATCTACTTTATATGAACCAGTAGATGAATGGTTCCCAACCTTGTGTAACCCAAGTGTTCTTGGACTGCAACACCCGGAAGCCTTCACCACCAGCTGTGCTGGCTGGGATTTTTGGGCATTGCAATCCAAGAACACCTGGGTTACCCAAGGTTGGGAAACACTGCAGTAGAAGTAATAGAAGTAGGTAAACCTTGTATTTCAGTCCAGTTCCAGAACCTAGATCAGTGGGGGGTGATCTCACCAAACAGGGGCATGGATGCCCCTCAAAATACAGTGGGGTCTTGACTTGAGAACTTAATCCGTATTGGAAGGCGGTTCTCAAGTCAAAAAGTCTGTAAGTCAAGTCTCCATTGACCTACAGTGCGTTGAAAACCGATTAATCCCGTAACAGGCCGTTTTTGTTCCATTTTGGTTTTTTTCTGGTCTGTAAGTCAATTCTCAGGCTGCAAGTCAAACCTAAATTTGCGGCCAGAGAAGTCTGTAACTCAAAAAGTCTGTAAGTCAAGCCGTCTGTAAGTCAAGGGTCCACTGTATGGCAAAATTGCTGCTGAACTTGCCTTGAAAGCAGATGGGGATTTTATGAGCAGTTTTTAAATTAAATTTAGAATTCTAGAAGTCTGGCAAAAGGAACCCTTGGGAGCACATGCAACTTGATCTGGATGCTGCAGCTTTGAACCTGACATTGCTTCCTCATTCTCAGCTGGGAGGTTTTGGAAGATCTGGTGTGTAGAATGGAGGGAATCATATTAGTGCAGGACAAGGCTTTTTTTGTGTTGGATCCCATGTTGTCACGTATCATTATGAATACTCTGCCACCTAGAAAAAGACATAATAGCTTTACTAAAAAATCTCTTTCTCTCTCCCTCTCTCCAATATGAAGGAATACTGAACAGCTTGCCATCAATTTTAGAAATGGAATTGGTAGAGAATTACATGAAGAACTAGTTTCGAAAGACAAACAAAACAAGCATACAAGTTATATTTCAGGTGGGAAAGCAATTTTGATACATCATTAGCATTATTGTATTTACTCTCTGAACTGTGAAGCTGCAAACCACTATAACCTTACACAATATCAGAGTGTACTCTCACTGATGCCAAAGGGCTTTGGGCTGGTTTGGTTAATTTTATACATCTTGTTTGAACTGATGTCATTAGAAGGCATTGAAATGAATCCAGATTAAATCATTATTGAAACCAATGTGAATAACCAGCTTGTGCTGTAGTTTTCAGTGGGTCTTCTTTAAGTATGACTCAATTTGATCTAGCCAACTGTGGTTGAAGAAATATTGGATGACATGCAAATTGGTCATTTACACCTGCAAGTCACCGCTTGATGCTATAGCCATTAACTGTATGGACCAGCCCTTGTTTTGTTCTGAATAGCGTGTTTGCAAAAACAGGCTCTGGGAGGCTCCAGCTGACTGGTAAATCAAGCCCTAGCATCTCCAGTTTCTATGGGGCAGCATTTCTGATGTCTTAGAAGAGAGATGTATACCAGGCATGGGAATCTCTGGCCCTTGAGATCTGTCCCATGCCATGGCCAGTCTTGAAAAGGCCTCTTTTGGTAGAAAGCCTAGTTTTATTAGGGCTGGGGTAGAAGAATTGGAGAGAGAAACCTTCCCCAATGTTTTTCATCTCATGTACTTTGATGAAGTTCTTGCATGGCAGGGGGTTGGACTCTATGGCCCCTGTGGTCTCTTCCAACTCTGTGATTCTATGATTCTGTGTGCAATGAACATTTTGAAAAACCTCCACTGGCATTAATAGCAGCCTTTTAAAAAACGGATTTCAGCAGAGGAGCATTAGTCTATGAGCACGTGTGAGCAAATGGGTTTCCTGGACAATTACACCAGGTTGTCTTGCAGTGGTAGGGTACCCTGCCCAGCTGGTATGATCCCAAACACTGCCAGTACAAAGTCCCAACATACTTGTCATGGACCAATTCAGCCAACAGGCAAAACAAACAAACAAACAAAAATCAATAGCAGACAAGATGAGCCAGTGGTCTGTCTTGGGATCATGCAGCTAATTCATCCCCACTTCTTTCCAAAGAAAGGAAAACCATGAGGAAATGAATGGGAAGGAAAACTGTGCTGCAATAAAAGACTACGAAGTTTTGAAAAGAGAGGTATATATATATCTATATGAAAAATAGTAACTTGTTGTCATGCAATGACTGATGCAAAACAAATGTAAATCTGTTCCAGGATGTTGAAGGAAGTGCCAGTCTACAGAGCATCCAGTTTAGTCACAGCTGCAAAATTGCTTGCCTCTGAAAAACAGGGTGAGAGACAGGAGAGGAAGCATGTTTCAGCCTTTAAGAATGAACAGCTTTCCTTTTGTCAAAGAAGAACAGGAAAGATGCAGACCAGAAAATAAAGGAAAAGAGGCAGCAAGTCTAATAGAACAAAAAAGAACGAGGGGAGATAAAAGAAGATAACATTTATAGCACTTAGGTTAGTGAATTTTATTTATTTGTTTAGTTCCAACCCCCTGGGTACACTGTTAGAAGTTATTTCACAGAGACAAAATGTTTGCATAAAACACACAGTGCTGGTGCAGAAACTTCAGGTCGAATGCAAAGTCACAATAAGGCCCATTTGCACATTGGCATTCTCTCCCTTTGTATCCCTGCTTTTGCCCCTCAAACTGAATCTGGTGATCACCAAACTCTAGGGCAGGTTCTAGGGGATGTGAGAGACCCCAGGTGCATTCACCCCTTTCAGTTCCAGGTATGAAAGCATTTCACTGATTCTGCCTTTAGAACCCGACCTTTCTTATAGGCAGGCAAAGAGAAAAGCCCCTCACACAAGTATCTCATGTTAATGACACTTGTCTTGTCTGTGGTCTTTGCATTTATTTGTTATGTCATATCACAATTTCAGGGCCCTGGTTTGACATGTACCTCAGGGCTCGTGAGCCAGTTGTTTTAAACTTCAATCCGTTCATGGTTTTCAACCCTGACCCCAAAATGGAATATAACGACCAGCTCATAAGAGCGACTAATATGACTGTTTCTGCTTTGCGTTTCTTGAAGACTCTGAGGGCTGGCATTTTGGAGCCAGAGGTTTTTCACCTCAACCCAGCCAAAAGTGACACTCAGGTCTTCAAAAGATTTGTTCGCTTTGTCCCTTCTTCTCTCTCATGGTATTGTGCCTATATGATGAACGCCTACCCACTAGATATGTCACAGTACTTCAGGCTTTTCAATTCCACTCGACTGCCTAAGCTTAACAAGGATGAACTGTTTACAGATGAAAGTGGGAGGCACTTATTGGTCATTAGAAATGGAAATTTGTACATATTTGATGTGATAGACAAAGATGGGAATATAGTGAAACCTTCAGAAATTCAAGCACACCTAAAATTCATCCTTTCCGACAACAGTCCGGCTCCAGCATTCCCTATTGCTTGTCTGACTAGCGAAGATCGAGATACATGGGCGATACTGAGGCAGGAGCTACTTGACAATGGCAATAAGGACACCTTAAGAAAGGTGGATTCAGCAATATTCTGTTTATGCCTTGATGACTTTCCCATCAAAGACCTCACCCACTTGTCCCAGACCATGCTCCACAGTGATGGCATCAACAGGTGGTATGACAAATCATTTAACTTAATTTTAACCCAAGATGGCACTGCAGCAATTCACTTCGAACACTCCTGGGGAGACGGGGTAGCTGTTCTGAGATTCCAAAATGAAGTATTCAAAGACAGCATCGAATCACCTGCAATCACACCCCGGTCTCAGCCTGCCGCGGTGGATTCTGCCACATCTGTACAGAAACTGAGCTTCCACCTGAACGATGCCTTAAAAGAAGGAATTACTAAAGCCAAACAAAAATTTGATGCTACTGTGAAAACTCTCACTCTGGAGGCCCATCATTTTGGAAGAGGAGGGAAGGAGCTGTTAAAGAAGCAGAAGGTCAGCCCTGACGCCATCGCTCAGCTGGCCTTCCAGATGGCATTTCTGCAGCAATATGGCCAAACAGTTGCCAGCTATGAATCTTGCAGCACAGCAGCATTCAGACATGGTCGCACGGAAACCATCCGCCCTGCCTCAGTTTATACAAAGGCATGTTCAGAGGCTTTTGTCAGGAAGGCGTCCAAGCACAGCAAAGCAGAGCTGCAACAGATGATCGCAGAATGTTCCAAGTATCACGGCCAGCTCACAAAAGAAGCTGCTATGGGTGAGTGTAAATATGAGGTTGAGTTGTATCTCTTCTATGATCCACCCACAGTTCAGCTCTCTTGCTGAGTCCAGTGGAGGTAGGTGGTGCCTGTCTTGTATGTTCAGAGCAATCTGAGTTTCTTGGGGTAATGAAACTTGGTTGCAGAATTGGCAAGTGTAACTAGAATTTGTGGAGGAAATGTCATTTGGGTGGTTTTTTTTACATCTTGTTGAAGGGCTAGGGGGAAAAATTAAAAAGGAAAGGGAACTCCTGAATTTCTGAAAAATTACTGGACTAGCTTCTACTCCTTCTCTGACCCCTGAAATGAAGGGAGCCGAGAGCATATAGTCCTGAGCAGAATCCCCACTAACATCTTCATGAAGTTCCTAATCTATTCATCAAATGTAGCTTAAATGAGTAATAAGCATCCTTATTACCTGTTTTAGATTGATAACTATAAGACAGGATTCTGACCAATGTTGTAAAAGCTACAACTTTTGGTTGCTTGGCATTACTTTTTCTTCTCCCCCAGTGCCACTCACCATTGCATTTTGTCTTGACAGGTCAGGGATTTGATCGCCATTTGTTCGGCTTGCAGTGTCTGGCAGACCTCAGAGGAACTCCTTTGCCAGACTTTTACCAGGATCAAGCATATGCGCAAATTAATCACAACATTATTTCCACAAGCACTCTGAGCAGCCCAGCTGTGCAGATGGGTGGATTTGGCCCAGTGGTACCTGACGGTTTTGGTATAGCCTATGCAGTGCACGATAACTGGATTGGACTAAATGTGTCTAGCTACCCAGCTAGGGATGTGCACGGATTTATCCAATGTGCGCACAAGTCACTGGAAGATATTTTTAACGTTTTGGAAGACAAACAAGTTAGCCACTGAAGCACAATAGGGCTTGTCATCTTAAACACACAGTACTACAAGATCGTGTCAGAAAAGATTTTAACATCCTGGCTGGAATTTCAGGATAGCACCTGCTACCTTATAATTCCCTTGAAACATATGCCAGATGGGTGGGGGTGGGGATTGGAATAATTAATTTAATTGTAAAAATTGGATCTAGACATATTTGGGTCTAAAACAAGATCCAATGAAATCAATTAGGTTACTCATGATTAATTGCTGCCTTTGATTTCTGTGAGTCTACTCTCAGCATGAATACAATTCTAATATTATTGATTGTAAATTAATGTTGCCTTATACTAATACCCATCATGAAAACCACACTGTCACAATCTTACGTTTCTAGGCTTGGTGACATGTTGCACAGCATTCTGTCTTTCTCAGTACCTACTGTAGATCTGTTAATGTTGAAATAATGTTGAAATATATGCAAAATTGCAAGGCAAATGTGTAGAAAGGGCACTGTCATTGTTCAGATGCATATTTGAAACATCCTTGAACAAGCGTTTTCATCAGAATACACTTCAGTAATGGAGCTTTAAAAAAAAACCCAAAGATCCACAATACTCAAGGACTCACCTAGCTGAAAGTTTTAGCTAGAATAGAGATGTTTTCATATCTTTCCACATACAGTGGGGTCTTGACTTAAGAACGGCCCGAGTTAAGAACATTTTGACTTAAGAACCACTCTCATAGGAAAATATTGACTTAAGTACTTAGATTTGAGTTACGAACTGAAAAAAACCCACGTGGGAGGCAGGGAAAGTGCAAAATGTGAACTTTCAGTTAACTGTTGGCCAGTGAAAAGGGTGCCTGTCTGCTTCCTCACTCCTCCCAGCGTTTAGAGAGTGGATTGGGAGACAGTCTTCGGACAGCCTGGTACTGTACTGCCTGGAGTGTATTTTCCCTGCCTTCCCTGAACCTTTCTTGACCTAAGAAAAAAAGAAACAAAATATCCCCCCTCTAGTGGTCGAAGGCGGAATAGCAGCTTCCCATTAGTTTCTATGGACGGAAAAGAGCAGATACGGATCAAATGGTTTTCAAGGCATTCCTATGGGAAATGCAGATTTGACCTGAGAACTTTTTGACTTGAGAACCGCCTTCCAATACGGATTATGTTCTCAAGTCAAGACCCCACTGTATCTACTTTGTTTCAGTGTATGAAACAGTGCAAGGAAATTTCCTGCTGCATTAAAATAGCATCTGCAACAATAGCTAAATTTGTCTTCAGTAGATGGCATTTATAGCTAAAGGAAGGGGTGGGCAACTTTCCAGCATACAGCTCCAATAATTCCTCATCCCTGGCAGTGTTAGATATGATTAATGGGAACTGAAGGCCGGAAGCCTCTGGAATGCCACAGTTACTCATCCCTCCTTTAAATATACAGATACAGTAGTTGCTATGAAACTCTATTATCAACCTCAGGTATGCTGTTTGGTAGGCTAAACTAGACTATGCTTGCTTGAGTGTAATCTCAAACGGCCTTCATGGACTTTTAATACAAACTGTATTGCATAATTATGTAAATACAGATTCACTTTCCTACTGTACCAATGTCAAATTTGCTTTGGACTCTTTGTTCATGGTAAATGTATTTTCCAAAATGTTTTTCACTGTGAGAGTTGCTAAGACTAGCAACAAATAAAACTATTTTGAAGAATCCAGATACACAAACTGAACTGTGAATGGTATGGATTTAGAACAAAACTAATGTAATAAGCAGAATGCCTCTCTAGAATGTGTCTCTGTTGTCAACCATTTTGCCTCACTGAAAACTAATGTGAAACTCAAAGTGAGAACTCTATAAGCAATGTATTAAATTGATTATGGGGTAGACTTTGTTGTGACAAAATGAGAACTCTATAAGCAATGTATTAAATTAAGATGATTATGGGGTAGACTTTGTTGTGACAAATAACAACCTGAAAAATCTGCTGGCATGCATCTCACATAAGATTGCTGAAGGAAATTTTTCTTCCAACACCCAACTACAGCCCTTGAAAGGTTCCTTTGAATGGCTGGGGAAAGAGTTGAGGTTTAGGAGAAGGAGGTGAGGGAATTTTTCCTTCTATGAACCTCCTTGATTTTTCCTAGACTTTAAGGCACTATCTGCAGTTAATTCAACTGTAATCTTGATACTTTACAGTCCTGTCTGTGTCCCAAAAGCCTTCCCAGTGGCCTTCCAGATTTTTTTACTCTCACATAATCTTAAATCCAGGAAACATCTATATGTCTACTCTAAGTCTAGTGGTGATATTAATTTCCAAGTAAGCATGCATAGGATTGCTTAGCTGCCTTTGTTCTCAGACTGTGATTTTAAAAAAAAGTTGCGCTCCTCTGGAAAAACAAACCCTGTAGAAAGTACAGGACTTTTATTCTAAGATCCACAAAGACAATTTGAACAACATAGCTCTACAGACAATGATCCGTGGGGAAACATAAATCTCAGCATTTTACAAACTTATGGGTAACTTCATAAATGCCAACAGACTCCTTTATTTTTTCATCATAGTCGGTCCAGTCCTGTGGAATTAAGTATACAACATTAGTTTAGTACACACCAGAATCAATTTGTAGCACTGGAACTTTAAGGTATATGGTGCAGGATTCTATCCTCAGAGTCCAACCTACATTTCAGGAATACTATTTTCCTGTGTTAGGATAAAAACTGGAAAATCTCAACTTGTTATTTAAATTGCCTCAAGCTTCTTCCAAGATTTTTAAGATTTTCCTGGTGTGAAGTTCATTGCCTCATAAATAGACTCACCATTCGTAGTTTAGGAAGACTGAATAAGTGAAGACCCATCCTAAACCTCCAGGGAGATTATCTGACACAATTATAGTACAGTAAATATGTAGGAAATGCTTGAATCTACAACTGAAACCAATGGGAACTTCCCTTATAAACCAACCAGCTCCAGAAAGGCCATATTTGTCGAAAGGATGGGAATCAAAACTTTTATTTGCTTATATTAAATATTCCGGAGCTGAATCTGTACATTAATCTCCAAGGAGGTTGACTCTATCTCTAGTAAATTCTTAGTACTACATATCTACTACAAAATACAGCTTACAGTGGTTTTAAATATGCAAGTACCAGCTGAGATGTATGTGAGGAACTATTATCCCAACTCCAGAAGACAGAAAGAGGGAATTCAGTATTTTTCATACTAAATGAAAAGCATGTAACAATGTGTGTGTGCGTTCTGTGCTGTCAGTTGGAACCAACGTAAAGACACTAAGTGGGCTTTCAGGGTAAATGAGATATTTAAGGAATAGATATTTATCAGTTCTACTCCGTCACTGAGTTTTCGTGGCCAAGTGGAGATTGAAACACTGTTCTTCAGAGTCCTAGTCAATCACTCAATCCACTACACCACACTGTGAATTTATTTATATTGCACTCTACACTAGAGTGTATTCTAATAAAATCAATAATGTGTTTAAAGTTGCATTAAGAAAAATCCCCCATTGAAGTCAATGGGAATTTCCCTTGAAAAACAACTTAACTCTAGAAACACCCTATTGGTTGAAATGGAAGCAATGTGGTAAACGTCATGCAAGCACAAAGGCTAAAGGCAAGTACTAGTCTATATAACAATTAAAACAAGTGCATATTAATGTTTTATAGTTTGTCCCTGAAAAGTGAACAGGATGATAAAGAAAATCCATAGAAGAAAGAGGATTCTCACAGGCCTGTTACGTGAGGTGAGTGGTGTGATGAAGTAAAATGATTTTGGCTACTACATCTGAAATGCCCTGGGGAAAAAGCAGGATGTTCAGCAGTTAATAAACATGAATGGAGATACTGTACCTTTTCTAACAAGTTGATGTCATCGAAACGTGTGCCAGATTCTGCACCTTCAGCAGCAAACCCAGCCTATAAATATTTAGAAAGCTTTTCTTAGGCATACAGTCATATCTATAATTGCCCAGATGGAAAGAAAACAGGAATCTCCTGCTTGACAAACAGGTCCCAGGTTATGGTGCTAGCAATCTCTACACTGGATCTGACTTCTTGGATGTATAGATAAGATTCCTTCCGGGAGCTTCCCACAGGAAAGTCTTGTGGCATCCCAGTGTAGCATAACATACTGACTGACTGAACTGTAATGAACACTCATGCTGTAATTTGTTATCCTTTAAAATATCTCACCACACCACCCTTTTAGTGGAGCCAGGTTTAATTTTTGCTAAATTGAGACTCGACGTGACCAACTGCCCCCTGCTGGCTGTTAAAAATGAACAAGCAACATTCAGATAGGGAAAAAGGGAGAAAATGTTTCATCCTGTATATATGGATATCAAATCTCAGCAATCATTCCTGACAGCATCCACCAGGAAAAGTGCTCCTTTTGTTCATGTGCACATAACGTGGCACCCGTTTTCTTAAAATCAGGTTATAACTAGACATATGCCTGAAAAAAAACAGAAAAGACCTATGGCCACAGTCTGTGCTGAAACCAAGCTAAAATTAATGTAAACCACAACATAAGAATTTCCCCTGTTCCCATTCTCTTTTACCCAGCTTGAGCAGATTTCACACCATCTTTTGCATGATTTTTTTCCACGACAGATGAATATGTAAGGTGCTATGTAAGTGAAAGACTGCAATGGAAACTCGTAACTTTGTACGGATCTGTAGATACAGTAACTTGTGGATTTACCTATTTCGTAAGGCCACTATTGTCCTCTGCATTCATTCTCCCCCTTCCTCATGATTACCACTGCATGAAAAAGAAGTCTGTCACATGCTGGGGGGGGGCTCAATGCCCACAACAAGGAGCTTGCTTGACCCTTACAGGCTTCCCATACAATTGAAAATTCTAATGTTTAAGGCTTCTAAGTTACACAGAGAATATACATGAACAGACACTCCCCTTGCATGTCCACTGCCAAAGTTATCCTTCCAAGTAAGGATGGGAAAGAATTTTACTTGGTACATTTTCTGAAACATGCAAATTTCATTAATTGGATGGATTTTAAAAACCCTAATGTATAAAAAAGTGAAACTGACATATTTGTCCATTCAGGCAGATATCTCTGAGTGCTTAAATATCTGGTTTTTAATGCCTGTTGGTTCAGCCGTTAGTGCTGTCACCTCTTTGCTTCCGACTGTCAGGGCTGAGGCCTTGCTGGAACCCGGCAATCTCAGCAATTAGGGTCTCTGGCTGTGTTGTGGTGATATTCCTGCCTTTCTTGACCCTGTTGCCTTGATACAGTTCCTCCTGGCTTTGACCCCTGGACTGTTTGACCATGATTTGCATCATCCTTCTGCCCAGCTACTATTTGGACTCAAACCCCCAGCTGGTTGGTCTCTGTTTGGGCTGTAGGGTTGGCTCTACTTTGTTCCTGTAGTCTCGCCCTGGACTGGGTCCAGGTGCCTCTCCTACCTGACAATGACAGGCTCCTCACCTTTAGCAGTAATAAGAGTACGGAGCTCTCTATGCTGAGAGAGATCTAATACATTTATTTATTCCCTTATAAGAACATTTCAAAAATTGCAAGCAAAAAAAAAAATTCTGAAAGAAGATGGAAAGAAAGCATGCTTTTTTAAAGAACATCTGAAAAATGTCAACAGAGATTCATTGCTCCTTATCAACATGTGAAGAGTGATGAAGCCAATGGAAGTGATAAGAAAAGATGGCAGGCTAACAGATGCATCTCCATCCTTCCTACCTCTCAAAGGATTCAAATTATTTCCCTTCTCTCTGCAGGTGTAGAGAATGATCAAAGATGTTTCATGTCACATGAGTATTTAGGTGGAAAACCATGACCTAGTAATTCTGCTTTCTGGCTGTGTGAATTAACCTTTGAAAAGAAATCTGCACCAAAGAACTAATAATATCCTAATTTAGGTATCACAGAAAGATGTTTCAAAGAAAAATGATACGAGAAACATTCATAAGAACCTGCCTGCGGTTGGAAGTCCACTGGTTCAAGGCCACGGCACTCAAACTCCACGATTGTCTTAAACGTCTCATTGTCTTCTGCCTAGAATTGAGTCAAAAAAGCACACAGATATCATTTTAGAAAAATACAAAGAAGTAGGAACATATAAAATACACCTCTCAATTTGGAACACCCCACAAGGAGACAAAATATTGCCTAATTACAATAATAACTTAGAAAGTTTTAAAGTCCCTGGGTATAGTTCTCACTCCACAGTGAAAGTCAGGAAACATTCACATCTGAATAGGACAGAAGAAAATATGTATTATACTTTTTACTCATTACAGCCTGTTCAAGTCACTGCGTAAATCTGATTCCAATTATGCATAAAACAGAGAGATCAATAAGAAAAAACCCGTAATTTCCTCTACTTTTCCTATTAATTAGAAATATCCTCCAAATACCTCATTTTCTTTTATTCCACAATTAATGCTACCATGAATAAATGCACAGGTATTCCTCTACCCTCAGGATTACTAAAATAAATTTTTTTTTGCAAAGGTTCTGTAATGGGACGTTGTACAGTACAGTCATATCAATGTCTATTCAAGGACAGTGTCTGGAAAGTCACTCTTAAGAAAAATGAAAGCAGTACAGATACTAAAGCTATCTGTAACTGAGTATGGTAGTATGATACTCTAGGTCACAAAGCATCATCCTTTTACTACATAGTTATAGGTGGTTTCAGTATATCATTAAATTCATTCTTTTTTAAAGCTCCACTCAGAAGGAAACCTCAATGGGTTCAACAAGATTTAATTCCAGGTAAGTGAATTGCAGCCTTAGATATAGTTTTCTAAACCAAAAACCTCTTTCTTTGTGTAGTAAAGGTGTTCTACATAGATAACTCCCCAGGAAGCTTACTGTGCAAGAAAAAAAAATGAAAACCACATTTCCCACTTTGTTTTCCACATGTGGATTACTGCATGGAAAGGATTCTGCAGGCACAATATAATTCAGCATGAACAACCAGTCCCTAGCTTACCTATTTAGCCTCTAAGTAGATTGCTATCTAACAAAGTGGGCAGGAGACTTAGAAGAATTTTAAGAGGACGATGGGTGCGTATGCACACCTAAAATCGGGTGCTCATGTGTCAGCCAGCTCACAAGGTCCCAACTAGAGATGGAGGTATTCGTATACGAATATGAATATCCCCGCATAGGTGGCATTAACGAGGGTCTTTCCTCATGAGGCTGGGCCGATCTGCCACGGATGCAATTCTACGAATGGCACTGCAGCATGCAATCCACTCGCTACTCGTGGCAGGAGGACAAGCCTCGCTGCAAGGTTGAAGAATGGTGAGTGGATTGCGTACTGCGGTGCCATTTGTAGAATTGCATTGTCCACATCCATGGCAAATCGGTGAGTGGACCGTCTGGCCCCATGGGGCTGGACCCTCGTTAACACCACCTGTGCGGGGATATTCATATATGAATATGAATACCCCCATCTCTGTTCCCAACTTCATTCAAAGAGCCCTTCAGTACTTCTGTTTCTCTATATTAAGCCCCTTGACAAAACCATTCTATAAAAATGCAAAGAAACCGACTTACATTGTAAGGCTTCATTGTCTGGCTTAAGATATCTGAATGAAAATGGAAGAAGACAGGATAAGGAAGCATGCCTATAAGTAATATTTTTTAAACAGTGTAACTCAATAAGATAAAGTAGAATACTTAGCGGTAAACAGACGCAGTGTAAATAATTTATTTAAAATTTGCCTTAAATTATTTAAATACCTCTTATAACCATCTTACAATCTCAGTTTCTCATCTTCTAATTCAGAAGAGCAGCAGAAGTATAAGGTATCATATAAAAGATTAGACCATGATAAAGAAGAAAGAAAAATCATAGCTATTAGTTTGTGGTCTTATCAAGATCTGCAAATCTTCAAAAGAAGAAAGACAACATTTTGTCAGCACATTGGTACATTTCAGCTGCACTGGGAAATAAAGTCATTTATCTGGGAATAAATATATATGAAATCAGAAACTTGACTCTCCTTATATTATACAGCCCGATCTCACAACGAATGTGGAAATGAGAAGTGCAGGAAGAGAAGAAATGCATTTGAAAATAGGAACATAGATGGAATAAACTACAAAGCAGTAGGCAACAACAGAAACCAGGAATGCTGGAGAGGGAGAGCACATGGCAGATAAGCCTTTAGACCTGTTGCCAAAAACACTGGGTTCAAGCTAGAATTCATAAATGTGAACAAAGCACAATTTACTCCAGGTTATAGTAATTCACAATAAACTTAGAAAGCTGGTAATGACAGCCTGTGGCTTTTAGGGAGTATTCTTCTTGTGTTCAATTATATTTTATCATAATATGCCTCATTTGTTTGTTATGACAATGCCCTCCCCTTTGGTAAAAGCATCATTCTAACATCATCTAAAATTACAGTTTCTTAGAAACATTAGAACAATCAAGTAAACAGACTAAGAAAATCAAAACATGCTAATATTATCTGCCACATTCAACAAAAGCTTTTAAGAATAAAATATTCAATAACTCCCCCTTTATTCCATCTGTATTCCATGGGACAATGTTTCCATTAGTTTTACTGCAGGCTTTAAGTGCATAATTTTAAGTGAAGCCTTTTAGAAGGGCCTACCATGGCCTCTCTTAATGAAGCCACTTACAAAAACCTGAAGCAGGTGCCCCAAATTGAAAGAAATTAGTCAAAAGAAAGTTAACCCTCAGTTCCTTAAGTTTCATGGATGGATGAAGAGAAACCAGCCTACCTATTGAATTTTCACGGGAGCACAGCTTGCATTTCTGCACCATGGTGGCACTCCCCCTGCCTCCTTTGAGAGGGTGGCTGTCCTGAATCAAATTTCAAAAGGAATTATCAGTGTCAACATCTTCACAGTCTGGAGGAGAAGCTCCATCAAATGCATTGCCATCAAATGTATTGCCATAAGGCAACTAAGGTATTGTTAATTTGGGAATACCACAAAATGTGATGGGCAATGGTTTAAAAAAAAGGGAGGAAGGTGGCACACTCCCTCATGTTATGCCAATGATGATATACAATCGTTCAAATTTTAGCAACATTTTAAAAATTGCAACTGAATAATTTCAATCCCAACACATACTTGGATTGGGTCACATTGAACACAGTGGGATTTCTCAATAAACGTGTATTTATAGATTTTGGTGTCAATGGAATACTGTTGCACACCGTCAAGTTCCTTTTGACTTTTTGAAGTATGTAAGATGGAGTGGCTTATTACTTCCAGTACTTCAGTCTCCATGTCCAAGGAGAGAGTTGAAGCCAGGCTTCCAAGGCCTAGTCCAACATTTTATCCACTACATCACACTGGTTCTAGTTCAATAATAATAACTGCATGCGGTCAGGTCAATTCTGACTTTAGGCTACCCTTTCCAAGATTTTCTAGGTACCAAATATTCAGAAATGATTCATAATTCCCTTGCTCCGGGGTTGCCTTAGGACTGTGAAGCTTGCCCAAGATTACACAAGCTGGCTCTTCTTCCGGGAGGCAAAAGGAGAATTGAACTCCCATGTACCTACTGAGCTATCCAACCACCTATATACAAATTCTGAAAAGCAAAAGTGGCAACTTCCCCTCCAAATGAAAATATACATTAGATGGTCAGCAAAAGCGCTTCTTGTATGACCTTTTGTTTGGTAGTTTGATTCCTAAGTACAAAATGTAATTAAAATATATAAGAGCCCTAATACAATTATTTAACACCTTCTTTTGCCATTTCCCAGATGTACTGTATACCTTGACTAGCTGCTAATATTCAAATCCACATGTGTGCATATTACACATTGATAATTTACCAGACTTGTGCTGTAATTTTGAGACTTACCATTAATCGTAAGTATTGCCATTTGTCTGTAACCTCACCACAGTTACCACACTTCAGCTAGAAAAGAAAAACACACTAAATATAAACCACGGATACTGTGCAAAGAGGATAGAGTCCAAGAGAAAAACGGTATTCTGATTTTTAAAAGTGCTGGAAATCTGAAAGTAAAGGCATGTCAGCAAAAAAGAATCCCCTAATAATATAAATCTAGATGGTCTGTCAATGACTATAACACAACATATTTTCACTGTTGTTTCAAAATCCCCCCAAGAGTTTTCTCAAATGTCGCTTATTAAAGGGAAATGGAATCCTGTAGTGCACAGGGCAGAAATTTTCCTTTTGCAATGCAGCCTATGAAAGAGCCTACAGCTATAGTCTTTGAAAATGCAAACCACTCTGGAACAATGTTGTCCCCATATGCTTTCACTATCATTATGTACACTGTACTATTTTAATAAACAATACGATGCATGCTTTCTTTAAGTCGTGCTAAGTCCAGATGTGACTTAGCACAACTTAAAGAGTCCACTGAGGCATCATCCACTGAAGCACCATGTTGTCTCATAGGAAGCTGAGTTAGTTAACAAGAGATGTAGGAGCTTTATGCATTTGCATGCATTTAAGAGCATGCCAAAATAAAGCCACCTTTAGGACAGCAATAAGAAGAAGCATGATGAGACAACTAGAAAAGTCTCTCTCCCATGTCTGCTTGGGGAACTGCAGTGGTTGAACTGCAGTACAAGACCCAAATTCAATCCCTATAGATTCAGATAGCCAGCTCAAACCTGACTCAGTCTTACATGCTACTAAATGGGTACCCAAATGGGTGCTGTGGCACCATGTGACAATACAGAAGTTGAAACAACAAACTTCTAAACATATTTTAGGAAAAATTCCAAATCGAAGATATGTGTGGTATTGGCTCTGGTTTCTTAAAAAAAAAAAGTACTGTATTCTACATAAACTAATATAATTTCACATGTTCAGAAATTAAACCCCTGTAAATCCTGCACAAATTAAGAGGTGGAAAAATTACAAGTGAAGCTATAAAAACTTGACTCTAAACTGAAGCTGTTATAACAAGGTGTTAATAAAAATAACACGGTGAGGAATCCTTCCGCCACTAATTGCAGTGCCTAATAAGATACCAGGGATGGCTGTACTGCAAATTTAACAGGTACCCTGTGTGTAGGCATGCAGGCAACAACCCTTGCAGGCCCTACCTTCAGATACCATCGAAAATCCTCCCCCACCGGCCTGAGGTTTGTAATGTTCTCCAAAGTGGCTTTGAGCTGCAACCCGATCTTCTACAACGAGAGAGGCGTGATCAGATTAATCCATCCCACGGCAACGAGGCTCTCATACTCCCACCCCACTCCCAATTCACCCTCGCACGGGTTCAGCCTTCTCTTACCCCCATGCTATAAAGGGCAAGCGACAAGAAGAAAGTCTTAAAACTACGTTTCAGGACGGGGATGCACAAGATTAACGAGCCGACCCTGGAGCTCTGCTGCGTGTGAAAGATTTTGCAAAGACTTAACACTAGGAACGGAGAACCTACACCAGCAGACACAGCGATAACTAAAGAGCTGCTACGCAAACATCGCGAGACTTCATATTCGCGATTTCCCCCATTCCTCAGGTCTATGATGCTGTCAAAAGAGCGCAGCAGCTGGGATTTGCCCTTACTCAAGATGGCGACCAGTGTTCGCCGTTAAACTCTGCAGCGCTAAAATTCCGATACGGGGCGGGAACTGTTAGCTCGCCGGAAGCATTTCTACGCGTAGAAGCTCCGGCCAGCCCAGGCCACGGCTAGGAATTATGGGAATTGTAGTTCAAGCGTTAGAAAGCCGGACAATACCTTAACCGAAAATAATTTCTGAGGAAGCCTCAGAAGATAATTTTATTGCGGTTCCACACGGTGTGAGGTGAATTACCGTTCAACGCCAGATACACGAGTCTGAATGACGGTACCTGAACTTTAGTTTCAAAATCACGTGTGCTTTGCTTGCTAGGGAGAACACTCTCCTGTTCTCAGCACAAGAGTGAATGGGCGAACAGATTGGGAAGTAAACAAGGTGGCAATTCAGCTGTGCTTCCAGTTACAGTACTATGAGCTCTGTTTTTAAGAGAGTCCCTTTCACTATCCTATCGGTGCCCAGCATGCTTGATGGTTGAAAAGACCGTCAATGAGTCGTGCAAATCTGTGCATGTTAACTTAAAAAACACATCCCATTGAGTTCTATGGCTCTCAGGAAGGCAGCGCATTGCAGCCTTTGACACTGAAATAAATGACCTCATTGGAGACCACCTACTTCAGCCTCTTTCCTTGCTTTATTAAGGACACGCACACACCTTCAAGCTTTCTTTGCAAAACACTGCTTGAATGTGAGGTAACTGACAAAAAAAATTAGATCCACACCCCTCCATGAGATCTAAATATGTGTTCCTATGCTCCTCCCCCCCTTTATATGTGTATGTGTGTGGAGTTCACAGCACACAGCAAAATGGTTAACTGATATAATTCTGGATTTGTTCTCATGTAACTGCCTATCATTTCTACCACTATTACAAACAGCAGAGGAATTAAAAACACAGAAATTGTCATATGCAGATGAATTATAAGTCTAGCCCATTTTAGAATTATGATATTCACATATGTCAGTAGTTTGCCAGTTATGGAGTTTCTGGCAGGAAAAGGTCATAGACTTCTTCACCAGTTGTCCTTGAAAAACAAAGTATCCTAGAGGAAGAACTTCTATTCAAGTACATTTTGCATGATTTCCAGAGATTATCCCACCATCCCTATACATTAACTCTTTTGCTAACGTTGACAGTATCTGTAAAAGTTTTCTATCATAACCCAAAGGTTGCTATGATGAGACAACTACACATACATTCTCACATACATTCTCAAGCCTAAATTTCAAATACTTTTTGGAACCCCATCTCTATACTGAATCATGCTGACTATCTGCAATCCAACATATGTAGGATACTGTTTTATAAAGCCAAATGACTGGCAACTGCTACTGTATCTAAAATCAGCCTTTCCTAATTATATCACTAGAGCCTTTTAGTCAGTGGTTCTGAACTTCTGGATGACCAGACACTTGAGTTTTCAAATTATAGAAGCCCTGACCATAGGCCATGCAGGCTAGAGTTCCTAGGAGTCTCAAACATTGGGAGAAGCAAAGATGGAGAACTGTTTTAGGTTTTGATAGCAGGATATGGTAGAATTGGCAGTTGAGGCTCCTTGCTTAGCTTAAGGGAAACAGATAAGCTTCTGCAAACATATTCCCTTTCACTTATGTCAAATTCCACTGAAAGAAACTCTGCTCTGTATCACTATATTTCAAACAGGCACTGAAACAGATATTCATAGGTCAGAATTCTATGGTCAGCATAAACGTCATTGTGTGCAGTGGCAAATTGTGCCAAACTGGCAAGTGACAATCCAAATTGCATGACTGTTGCATGATGAAGAAAACAAACAGTAACTTGTTTGTTAATGAGCAGGAATGTGCCACTCTGGTTTAGATAATTAAAATTCTGTAAATCTCCAGTAGGATTCTGGCAACTGTATGTCAATGTAAAAACCAGCAATTCCCCTATGTAGAACTGCTCATGGTGACCCACCACTGTGGGGGGGGGAGGGTTACACGACATTGAGATCTGGAAGAAGGCTTTCTTTATTGTAATGCTCTGCCTATGGAATGCTCTCCCATGAAAGCCCGACTTGGTGGTGACATTAGCTAATGTACAAGTAAATAATCCATGGCCCAACTGCCTACGGATCAGTTTCAGCTCTAACTTTCTAACATATATTAGACTCATTAGCATATTTCTTTTTTATTACTGCTGCAGAGGCTTATGAAGGACTATGCACATAGTGTGCTGCTGCTATATTATTGACTAGCAGAAATTAAGTTACTTCCTCTTCTAAGCAAAAGAATAATGTCCTGCTCACCAAGATCAAATAGTTGACTACAAATACTTTTAAATAAAAAGAATTTTTAAATCATTTATTAGATTCACTGCATAAAAAAACTGGCATACATAAAAGTCATTTAAGAGACAAGGAATGAAAGTGACCCACCCAAAGAAACTTTACAGTACAAACAAACTTATACAATTCAAATTGGCTTAATCTTAAAGTGTAATCCAATGAGACTAAAGACTAGACACTTGAGGTCCTGGACAAGGTAGTAAAACACTCTTAGACCTTCAGGATCCCTGAAACATTAAAAGGAGAAAAAACATTATGTACATAAAGTCAGAATTCCTAAGAAAACATTGTCTGAATATTTATTAAATAGCAGAATTACAATCTCTTAGCTGTATGTTGTATGTGTATATACTTACAATGACAATAAATTATTATTATTATATCAAGGATATTTTGGAAGCTTGGCAAAACCTATCCAGCCTGGTTTTTAGCATAGGTTTATTTAAAGTAAGATTAAATGATTCTGGGATGCTATTCAACATGTTATGTTTATCCAAAGCACAGGACAACTATGAGTAAATTATGGGAAAAATGCACTGGATCAGACAAACTCAGTATGTTAACATTAGGTTTAAAGTTTCATTAACACAAAAATCAAACAATAGCCAAAATGTTTTTTCATCTATCTTTTAAATCTCTCTGGTACTCTGATTTTGTTGCTGTTCCCACAAACATTAAGATTGCCTCAGACTAGTTGCAGTTCCTGCCTTCATTAGAAAGCCTTGCACAGGGCTCTCATGAGATAAGCATAGGTTCAAGCTCATCATATGTACATTCACTTGGGTACATTCTGCTGGGTTTTAGGAAGTCGTGAAACTGCAAATGCATATTCAGAATATTCAGCTTTATATCTGGAAGATTACACTCATAACAACATACTGACAAAACACTGCTCCAGACGAGCTAGTCAGTGAAACTAGCTCTATCTTTCTTCAAATGTTACTTACTTGGACTGATTCACATCAATAAGAGAACCAATTTTTGATGTGGTAAAGGAAATGTGTTCATCACCAATTACAATTTCAAGCTCCTGAAAAGTAAGAGTACCATGTGACAAAAATATCCATTTGACAATAAATATCAATTTAAAATGTATAATGAAACCTCCCCACAAAGTTTACTGTCCCTCAAAGTGTATTCATGTGTAAAATAAGACAGTTTCTTCACTAGACTTGTAAAGGAACATCACTGCAATCTGTTTACAGGACGTGCAGGAATTATAAAGTAGATAAATCAAAGTTTACAATCAGGAGTGCTCCCTCATTGACCTCTGTCTGGGGTTAATACTGCTCACAGTGTTCTCATCAGTGGCAGAAGGATTAAATGGTGGGATTCCAAATACTCTGGATTCAAGACTCTGACAACAACCCATGAAGGACCCAGATCAGATCCTGTACCTGCACCCATCTGAAACAGGTGTAATAAATTTCCACACTCTGTGTTGATGGCTGATAGTAATAGGAGGATTTTTAAAACCATATATTTGGAGGTCAAAAACCGATTAAAATTTATACCATCCCTCAAAATCTTCTTTCAGCCAATGCAAAGCTGACTGAGATCTGCTGCTCCATTCCCTACAGATCCTTCTTAGGATGGCAAATTTACAAATTAAATGCTATGCACATAAATACAGTAAATGAACTTAAATTTTGTTGTTATATGCTATCAAGTAGGAATGGACTTATAGTGACCCTAACAGGGCTTCCAGGGGAAGAGAGTGGTTTCACCAGTTTCACACTCCACCCCACCCCCTGGTGAACTTCCATGGCTGGGCAGGGATGTGAACCTAAGCATCCTGAGTTCTAGTTCATCACTCTGTCCATTACGCCATACTGGATATACAGTGGTGCCTCGCATAACGAGTGCACCGTTTAACTACGAATCCGCAAAGCGATCTATTGCGATGTTTAGATAGGGCAAACCGCATTGCGATGCTCGGTAAGCGTTTCGCTTACCGATCTTCGCATTGTGATGTTTTTAGAACAGCTGATCGGTGGTTCCAAAATGGCCGCCGCAAGCATTTTCGCGCGCTGCCCTCGCTAACCGAGGTGGCGAAAATGGTGGCGCTATGGAGGATCTTTGGATAACGGTGAGTTTTCACCCCATAGGAATGCATTAAACAAAGTTTAATATGTTCCTATGGGGTTCCCCCCCGCATAGCGATGTTTCTGGATAGCGACGATTAATCCGGAACGGATTAACGTCACTATGCGGGGCACCACTGTAAACTTAAAATACTTGAACTAAAATAGGAAGTTTGCCAACCTGCCGACCAACTCTGTCAGGTGGAGGCCACAAAGCATCATCTTCTTTTGTAATTTCACTGTCATCAATTATCCTCTTTAGCTCTTCCATTACGCTCTTATGTACGTAAGCCTAAAAACAAGTATAAATATGTGTATCAGTTCTTTAATTTAAAAAATCAACAGGTGCACAAGGCAATCATATATCTTCTCTTACCCAGTGACATTCACTCTATACTGGAATGATTCAGGAATGGGGAACGGCTTGAACCAGCAAAGTAATATATATATAGTACAGTTAATGCCAGACGTTTTAACTTGTGTACAGTATTGCTCAGCAGACATTGTTTTAGTGAAAAGAGCAATTATCTTTATTTATATCTTAAATAAATTTAGAAAAATCAATGCTAAACATTATTAGCTACATTATTTAAAATATTTATTTATTTATTAATTCATTACATTTATATCCCACACCTTCTAGGGCACTACTCTGGATGCTTAACAACTACCACAACCCAATACCACCCACAAAAACACAGATAACCAAGAAACACTAAAAACTCAAAGTATCCTCTAAGAAAAGAAAGAAAGAAAAGAAAGAAAGAAACCTGGAAGGGTAAATTAAAATCAAGATCAATTCAGCACACAGACCATGAAGACTTTATGGGGTAAGATGTTTCCAAAGAGCTCTTTGAATAGCATGGTTCAAAGATATAACATTTAAAGCACAGAATCTTCCTGCTTAGCAACAAAACTAGAAAACGCTCTACAGTTAGAAACATACAAAGTGTAAAAGGAAGTAACTAGCAAATCTTCATGGTTTGCAGAGTTCTCTGCCAAGATTCCACTATTGCCTTATTGCTTTCAAACTGATATTAATAAGCAGATAATTTAATGTAATTGACTTACTTCTTTTCTGATCATGACATCATTTTTATAATTACTGTTGTTTGCATATCTAAGTTTACCTGTGGAGACAGATAAAATTAAAAATTAAACAAAGCAGTGGGAAATTGTACAATATAGACATGGTCTAGAGGAGCGGGGTATAAACTGTACAATATTAACATCTTCCCCTTTACCTCTTTAAACAGATGCCAACAAATCTCTATTTTTGGCTCCACAAACTGACAAGGCGCAAGGAAGTGAATGGAATGAAACTCAAGCCAGTGATGAAGGGTTTATCGTTGCACAACTCTTTCCAATTTCTAAGTTCAGTCCCGCTCTATCTCCCTCTTCTAACTTTTTGTGCCTTGTACAGGAATGCTTTCGGGTAGTTTCAGAGCGCCATATCCTAACCCAAGACGGGTAGGAGAAAGATCGGCTACCTCTGCCCTCCAGTTAGTTCCCGCCTTCCAGTCTCCCCATCGCTACTTTCCTCTCCACCTTCTTCTTTCCTCCCCCATCCGGCAGGCAGCTCCTGCCTCTAGGTATCTCTGACTGCCCCACCACGGCTTCACCTGAGCATCACCCCACGAAGGGGGCCCGGTATCTTTAGCCACCTCACCAGCGATTCCTACGAGTTGGGGTGTGCGTGTTCAACTGCTCTCCCGACTCTGAACTCCAACTCCCCCCCCCACGCCCCAGGGCCACGGCTGATTTTGCCACACCCGAAGTGCCGAAGGCCAGCTTGTCACGACGCCACCCAAATGCAGGGACCCTCAGCTACCGCTATCACCCCCCCCACTTCCTCCTCTGCCTGCAGGAGAAACCCATTCCGACGCCGTCGCCTTTCCACAGAAAGCACGGAACCGCCGCTTGCTTGCCTTCCTCATGCCGGGCAAGCGGTCCCCTCCTCTCCCTAGACAGTAAGGCTCCCCGCGCTCGGGAAAACAGGCCACCCCCTCCGTCTCCGGGATGCCACCGTCTCTCCCCCTCCACTCGCGCCACGACGCCTGCCTAACGACCGCTGAAGCCTCACCGTCCGGTCGGAATTCAAACTCGAGAAACTCGTGGCCGAACTTGCCCTTGTGCCCAACGTAATAGCGCAGATAGAAATCGCTCGCCATGGCTCGAAGAGCGCCCTCCCGACAACCCAGCAGGCACTGCGCAGGACGTACTCGCGTACGTATGCGACGCGTGTAATATACGTCACAGGCGGTGCGGAAGTGTTTTTGCCATTTTTTTCGCACAGGGTCCGACCGCATAGAGATAATGATAGGGGAGGGGGAAAGAGAATATAGGCACCTAATCATAGGTAGAGCACTTCCGGGAAAATTATGTTGCAAAATAAGTAGCGCTCTAAGATGTTCACTATAAACGGGGAAGCTCTGGAGAAGCACTAAAGTTGAACTAAAATAACAGAATAGTCACACGGAGTATTCTAAGGCAGTAGCAAAGTAAGCCTTCCTACTCTAAGCAGGGAGTGACCTGTCGCCTCCGGCCTATGGCGACCTTATGGATGAGGGATCTCCACAATGCCCTGCCCCGCTCAGCTTTCGTGTCTATCCGGCAGTTGGGCTTCTTCTTTTCCCTGTGCCTTTCAACTTTCTCAGCATTATTGTCTTTTCCAGGGAATCTTGCCTTCTCTGCTGTGCTCGAAGTACGAAAGCCTCAGTTTCAAATTTTTTGCCTCCAGAGATAGTTGAGTCTTGATTTTTTTTTTCTAGGACCCACTTGTTCTGCAAACTTGCCCTCCAGCACCACATTTTTAGAATCGATTTTTGTTCCTGTCAGCTTTCTGCACTGTCCAGCTTCAACATCCACACATAGTGATCAAGAATACAATAGTGTAGATGATCTTGGTCTCCAGTGGCAAATGCTTACACTTGATAATCTTTTCTAGTTCCTTGATTGCTGCCCTTCCAGGTTTCAGTCTTCTGATTTCTTGGCGGCAGTCTCCATTTGGATGGCTGACTGAACATACAGAAAATCTTTTAACAATTTCAAATTCTTCCTTGTCAAATTTAGTTCCTCAGTAGTCATTTTTGTCATCTTAATGTTCCACTGCAGTCCCGCTTTGGTACTTTCTTCTTGTTTGTTTATTGTGTCTTTCTCCCTGAAAATAACCCAAGGCAGCTTACATAATTAAAAATATGTACAATATTTAAAAGCAAAAACAGCATGTATAAAGATATTTAAAATAATTAAACTAATATTATATTAAATACAGTAAATAAAACCAGTACTAAAAAGACCTTCAAAAGCAATAAGGCAGAGCAATCTATTGTAAAAACCTCTGTCAGACAGACAGCCACTAAGGGAAAGCCTGCCTGAAGGGGAAGGTCTTTGTGTGCTCACAGAATGACAGCAAAGATGAGACCAGCCTAGCCTCCTGTGTGAGGGAGTTCCAGAGTCTCGGAACAATTAAAGAGAAGGTCCTCTCATGTGTTTCACTTTCATCAGAAGTCACTTTGAGTCACTACCGCTTTTTGTCAGTAAGATGGTGTCACATGTATATCTTAAATTATTGCTGTTTCTTCCACCATTTTTCGTACTTCCTCTTCTGAATGTAGTCAAGCGTTCCTTATGTCATGTTTTGTGTACAGATTAAACTGATAGATAAAATGCACCCATGTCCTATACCTTTGCCTATGGAAAACCATTCTGTCTCTCTTTATTCTTTCCCAACAGTAGCTTGTTGTCTATAACATAGGTTGTGCATCAGAACAATTAAGTGCTGAGATACACCCTTTTCTTTCAGAGCTATTCATAGTTTCTCATGATCCACACAGTCAAAGGCTTTGCTGCAGTATATAAAACAAAAGCTGATCTTTTGAAATTTTTGGTGCACTCCATTAGCCAGCAGATATTTGCAATATGACCTTAAGTGCCCTTTCCTTTCTGAAATCTGACTTGAACATCAGGCATTTCCCACTCCATATAAGATAAAAGTTTTTGTTGCAATACCTTGCAGCACCTCTGTCAAGACCCCACTGTAAGATAAAAGTTTTTGTTGCAATACCTTGAGTATCACTTTGCTTGCCTGAAAAATTAGAGCAATCCTACAGTGTACCACACCGGTCATAATGCAGACTGGAGTTGGGGTTGAAGTTCATCATAGTTCAGAATCCTCTCAAATACCTCCCTCCCACTGCACAGCGATAGAGAAGGGAGGTTATTTAATTTTGCTCACTTGGATCACCTCCGAATACTGTAACCTTCTGTGCCCTTGGTCTAAAACTTCAGTACAACTTTTCTATACAAATTTATTATTTGGTGACAAAGAGCATGAGGGCTTTCCTACTGAGGTGGAGTGGGGTAGCTCTGAAGGATGCACTGCTGTCTGATTGTAAATGCTCTTAAGTTCTTGATTTCTCAATTGTCTTGGCTGTGCAGGTTTCATTTTCTTTGGGAAAGGGGACTCTTTCCTCAGTGGAAGTGTTCTTTCTTAACAATCCTATGTGATATGAAGATTTTAAACAATACATGTAGAGTAAGTTTGAACCCATACAAAATAGGGTCTGTCTGCTTGTTTGTGAGTTTAAAAGAGAGGTTTATCTGCATGCTATGTACTTATCAAATTGTAGTCTGACCTGGAGTTGAAGGCACTTTTAAAGAGGGAGCATTAATAATGACATGTTCACTAATCTACTTTTATCTCACTGGTGAAACAAATTTGGCAGGTTATCACATTTATATGTTTCCATAGGTATCTGGTTGTTTTTGTATTTACACATGCCATTCCATGTGACAGACGTTTTTCCTTCCCAAATTCATACAGTATTACCCCAATCCTATGAAGTAAGTCAGGCTAAGAGCATGACTGGGCCAAGGTCAATTATGTGGCTAGGTGGGAATCAGACTCCTCGCCCAACACTGTATTTACTATACAACATGGGCATTTGCATCCCCACAGCAATCTGTCAGTGGGTTGGCCAGCAGCAGCACTGGAGGAGAACAAGCCCTGGTGAAACAAAACTTCCCTCAAACAACATTCAAGTCACTTGTGATTGTCTGTCATAACCCTTTCTGTTTGCTGTTTAGCTTGAATTATTACTTTTAGCTGCACAAAAAAGCCATCGTAAATTAACTTGTTCCTTGTCATAGTGAACATTGACAGATTTAGGTCACAGTCCCCATGTAAGCTTTTGAGGGTCCCTTTTGCTTATTACAGGGACTTCAGCCTGTAAGATAGGGAGAAATTGTTTACAATTCCTGCTTTGCAGGAGAATGCTGGGAAGCTCCCTGATATTAAGCCGTACTTCTGGTCCATTCAGACCACTTTTGTTACACTGGTGAGTGGCGGCAGCTGCTGGTCTTTGAGTATCAGGCAAGAATCTTTCCTAGCTCCTCTCAGAGATGCCAAGGATTGATCTGGGGCTTTTCCACATATAAACCATGTGCTCTGCCAGCAAGCTATGGTCCTCTCCCCATCCCAGCTATGGCAATAGCTTCCTAAGGATGCCTGCCTGCGCTCCGTATTCAGCAGATGGTTGAGAATTACTCTGACAACTTTAGAGGAGCACATCCTGCTGGTATAACTCAATCAACTGTTTACTGATGCATGTATTTAGCTGCTTCTTGTTACTCTTTCCCCCCTTTTGTTTTATTTTCTGTGCTTCAAATGTGTTCTGGAAATGGTTTCTTTTCATAGGCTTTCACAATAGGAGTACCCCATCTATGGAACTAAGAGCCTGTCCACACTGGCGTATAATATACTTCTGTTTGAACAAGGATTTGACTCTGATGTTGCTGGGGGGGGGTTTGTCTCTTACTTTTCTTGGGTCTTTGTGTTGTCATTGCTGCTGCTTTTAGATAGTTGTGAATGTGTTTTAGTAATTTCAGGTTGAAATCCTCTTGCTTAGTATGGTAAGTTGCATTAGGGTAGACCCATTGAATCAGTGACTTGGTGAATCAACCCCTGCATAAGTTCCATTGATTCAAATGGGCCTACTCTAGTTGCAATTTATAAACTCATTTGAATCTGGAATTTACGAGGAGTTGACTCACCTAATCCCCACTGATTCAATGGGCCTACTCTAGTGCAACTTACTCTACAACTCTAGAGTTGTTTACAACCTGGTAAACCATAGGATTTCAGCCATTGTTTTCATGCTTTCTTTTTTTCAAGCCCCTTTGAAGAAGAGTGAGATGTGCAGACTAAATGAATAGTAATAAAAATATAAAAACTATGAATCCATTTTTACCTACGGGATATGTTTTTAAATGAACTACAGTTTCAAAAAAGTCCTCTTATCCACCTGATTTCTCATAATATTTACTGTGATCAAAGAAAAAAAAACTATTGGGGCATCTTTAAGACCAACATGTTTTATTTCAATGTGAGGTTTTGTGGATTATAATCCACTTCCTTAGGTATCTTGGGTACCATATTTAGGCCACAGGCTTATATGTATTACACACATCGCCGTGTGTATATAAATGTTTGTGTATACACCATGTATAAAAGTCTTTGTTTTAAATATGCTGTTCCATGTACCTGAGGAAGTGGCTCGTAAACCACTGAAACTCACAGTGAAAGAAATCAGTCTTGAAGGAGCAATATTTTTTGCTTTTGGTAAGCATTGCCGAATGTGGTTACCTTTTTGAACATGGCTACCTTTTCAAAAATTAACTACTCAGTTTACTCCTTCCCAAGACTAGATGGAGTGCAGTAGCACATTAGCTGCTCTTGAGAAGTTAGGAAACAGCTGTTTAAAAATGCTGCTGCCCAGATGTTTAGTGATGCTCCCATTGTGAGCTTGCCAAACCTGTGCTGTTTAATTTGTCACTGGTTAGAAGTTTTTGTTCTGAATGAATTCAAGGTGCTGGTTTTAACTTTCAAGTGCTAAATAGTTTCAGATTTGGACTTCTTGAGGGCCACCTTTCCTCATATATTCCTCCACACAAACTTTGGCCATAAACAGTCAAGTCCTCTTCCCTAAGAAGTATGGTGAGCAGCCACTGGGACAAGACTTTTTCAGCTGTCTTTTGATATCAATCAGGAACTGACACCCTTTCATTATTGGTGACAGTAAAAACTTTATTTAAAAAAAACACATGTTTTGATTATTTTTGGAAATAATTATTTCTGTGTTCCACTACTGTCACTGGCCAAAATCTTGTTGCCAATTTGCTGCCAAGACTGATGTAATGTCTCTTATAAGCACAAATCATTAAGAGGATTCTAACCA